AAAGTCGCTGAGGTTGGGAAACACTGCTTTAGCCAATAATCCGAATTTCCTAAAGCCTGTGCCCCAGGCTGCCTTAAAAAGGAAGGATTACTCCCCCCAATTTTTGTTCTTGTGCCCAAACTTTTGTACCCCTGCCCCACTGAGACCTGGCATTTTTCTTGCAAAGACAGGGGTGGGGAGGGTCTGCCCAGGCATGAGGATTTTCAGTCTGTTGTCGGCCCTGGTTTGCTCCCCAACCCCAGTGAAAATTAGGCTCCTACCGATGAATTCAAAAGCCTCCTCGAAGTATTGCCGCAGATCCTGGCGGTTGCTGTCGGTGGCAGGCAGGCGCTTGTAACGGAGACGCCCGCTGTCGGCGTGGTAGAGCGGCAGGTGGGTGGTGACGTTCAGGACGTGGCCCACGTTGAGGTGAAGCATCTTTTCCAAATTCTGGGCATCCTTCTCGTTGCCCAGAAAGAGGAAGGGGAGGATGGGGCTCAGCTCGGCGTTCTCCAAGTCGGGGGTGAGCGGGGAGACCAAGTCGTCCGAGATCTCCGGGACGTCTGACCCAGTCGGACTGCCTGCGGCCGAAACACAAACCAAGATAGTTGCATCCTTGAGCATTCAGCTCGTTGGAGCTTTGGGACTTTGGAGCTAGAAAGCACTGCACGGGCAAACAGGGAGCGTGGCGGGCGCCGAAGTTGCTTTTTCCCTCCCGGCTTTCCAACATCTGTTAGGTGAAATGATCCTCCAGACTGGGGATGGGAGACCAGCCTAAAGGAAGCTCTGGCAATTACGTCATGCTACGAGCCGGGCAAGGCTCATTCTGGCTCAGTCGGGACTGGGGGGGCAAGGAATGCTGGGAGCTGTAGTTTGGGGGGAAGGAGAGGTACAAAGCTTGGCTGCCTTGCCTGCCCCTTCTTCTTCGCCACTCCACTCCTTCAGCTAGCCAAGAGAAGGGAATCTCAACCCCCAGGTTTTACGTTTTTTCATAATAGGCTTGGGGTAAGCAATGGGGCTGGGAATGTTTGCTGAACTACAACTCCCAGCATTCCTTGCATGTGGCTGTGACGGCTGAGTGTCCCATCAACATCTGGAAAGAACTCCGTTGTTTCTCCCTGCTTTAGCGGGCGAGCAAGAGGCTCAACTCCACTCCCATGAAAACAAGAGTAGCCTGCTTTTCCTCAGGCGACTCCTTCTGCACACCCCTTCTCTGTTGTCAGTAGCCAGGGAGAGGTATCTTAAAAGGAGCGTGCTGTTTAGTCTCTGTGTCTTACATTTTAAGGTATACTGCTCGTGAACGGAGATGCTCTATTTAGCATTCATGTCTGTCGGCCCCGGTGTCCTGTTGCAGGAAGTCTTCCTCCCGCCCGCCTTCCTCAAAGCCAACGGCCACTATCACGTCCTAGGCCGGACCTTGGTTTAAATTAGGCTCCTCCTTGGGGAAGTGCAAATCCCTCCTTACCTCTCTTACCAGGCCCTTCTTGCTCATCTTTGTGGACCAGATCCAGGACAAGGTGCAGGTTCTGCATAGGCTGGGTTTTGGGGGGCTTGGGGGGACTGGCCGGCGGTGGTTCTCGGACACCCCCGCAGCCCGTCCCCT